ACCAGCACTAATTAACCCTCAGATTTTCCTTAAGTTATTGAATTGGATGGAATACGCATCGACAACCAAATTATTCTTCAATAGTTCCCTACATGAACAACATAATAGAGATACAATCGAAGATCATTAAGCTTTGTGAAAATCATAAGCATTGACAAGGCATTCGTAACTATGAAAAACATGATACTCTTGCCAGGAATTTACTTAACACGATCGTGACTAGCAACCTCCACTACTTATAAATATAAGTTCATAACGATTAGGTGAAACTCCCTTATATTTTAGCATCAAATTCATGCATGCAAACAAAGTGGGCCCTCTTAATTAACACACAAGAATAAGTTCTTAATCAAACAGTTAAGTAAATTGTATTCACGATTTATGAAATCACAACTGAAACTAATCAATACATATTGCAAATATAATCATGGTTTCAATGTCTCCTCTAGCTAAAATAAGTTTAGCTCCTCATGTTTGCAAAACAAAGATAATTAAACTTAAACATTAAAAACAAAGATAGAATACACCTAGAAACACTCCAGGTGGCTCCTCCTTCCTTCCTTGCTGCGCACAATGGGGATTTGTGAGAATTTACGCTCTTGAGGTGTGGTGGATGGTGTGGTATGAAATTATGCTAGAGGGTGGTGATTTATGAGTGTTACGGCATCATGTATTTATAGGGTGAAGGGAAGGCACGAAATTGGGCTAAAAATGAAAGGAATTAGGACTCTAAATCACCGAAGAATAAGGACACTTTCAATCAGATTCCAAGGAGGATAAGGAATGGTCCTTGTGGCAGATTCTAGAACTTCTAGAAAGGTTACATGTGACATAAACTTAGGGCACGAAAATAGGGCTTCTAGAACTTGATATTTAGGTGATTTAATGTGAAAAGGAGTCATCTTTGCAGCTGGAATTAAGGTAGGAAAAGATTAGGTTAGGATAAGATAAGATAAGGTTGGATAAGGTTTGGATAAGATAAGGTAATTTGGATAATGTTTCCTTCTTCATGGCTGATTCCTTAGCCTCCAAGTCTTTGATTTAATTCTTCCAGATGTTAAGCACATTCCTAGCCTCTTTTGATCTTCAATTTCGTCCATCCACCTTGGTCCATGCATATGCTATCCATTCCAAGCCCAAAACTGCTTCAAATAGCACCAAATTTCACTTTCTTGCCAACTTTGTCATTTAAACCTACAAACACACGAAAATAGCTTAAAACACTATAATAAATAGAAACTAACTTACTAAATGCAAAGAAACAAGCTAACAAAGTTGCATAAATATGCTCCTATCAGTGAAACTCCCTTATACTCTAGCATCAAATTCAAATTCATGCATGCAAATTAAGTGTTGACCCTCAACCAACACACATAAACAAGTTTTAATAACTTAGATAAGCAAACCACACTCATGCCTTAAGAAACAATAACTGTATGTAATCAATTCATATAAAACATATAATCACGGCTTCGAATTCACCTCCAACTATAAAGAAATTAGTTCCTCATGTTCATCATAATTGAAAACCAAATTAAAATAAATATTGAACTAAAACTAAGGATAGAAAGAACCCAGAAGCACTCCACACTCCAATGGTAGATTTCGAACCCTACTTGGATGGTGGCAAGCATGGCACAAGTCCTTCTATGCTTCCTTCCTTGCTGCAGCACTAGGGTGAATTAAGGTGTTTGATGGCTGAATGTATGAATGAATGTATAAGTGAATGGATGGTGGTGTTTTCTGCGACATAAGTATGTATATATATGTGTGATACACGGCTGCAACCCTAGGGAAATCAGATTAGGGTGTTGTAGAAATCATGACACACCCCGACCGAGATCAGGGCGTGCTGGCCATCACACGAAGGTGACGTAGTCATGTGCACGTGCGGAAGCTAATAAAATAGTAATATAAAAGTACGAATAATTAAAAACTAGCGTACAAAGTACTCAGATAAGTGCTAGCGTAAGTGAGATACAAATTCAGAGCAAGACTACAGCAGTCCAAAAGAAAAGTCGCGACAAAAGTACACCCGAAGGTAACCCTACGCTGGTGAGTGTCTGTCAGAAAAGCCGGAAGAACCCTCTGGGAAACCACCGAACCTGCTAAGCAACTAGAACCTGGAGGGGCGCAAAACAAAAGCGTGAGTGGGCAAAAACAAAGCTCTTTGAAAACCATTTAGCAAAATACATTCTAACCCCTCGCCGTAAAACCTGTATACTTCCCAAAAAATAACGTATATACGTATGTATAGATATGCCAAACATGCTCAAAGGTATGCCAATCATGCTCAAGATATGCCATGCCGAAACCTCAGAATGAAATGCAAGTGCTCAGGTATAAATCAAATCAATAACATAACATCTGGCAGCCGGAGTCACCTAACGTGACCTGTACGGCTGCATATAGAGCTCAAATCTCAAACTCAATAACTGAACCTGCCCACGAGTCGGAACCACCTAAAGTGGTCTGTACGACAGGCCTGGGTGTAATATATATATACGCTCTAGTGCTACGATCACGTGAAGGCTGTGCGAATAATCGCGGGTCACCTACGAGTCGGAACCACCTAAAGTGGTCTGTACGACAGGACTGTGCACCTAACTTGGATCCAAGCTGAGCGTGTGGTGCGGGAGGTGAACATCACGTGAAGGACTGTGCCCTACTCTGGGCGGGAGCACTAACACCGGGGGTGCAGGTTATGAGCTCTCTAAGCATCTCAAACTATTGCTGAATGTAAATATGAATACCACTTACCTGGCACTTACTTGTACGTCCACAGCACCAAATACGCATATATAAATGTATGCCACTACTAATGCATGTGATGATGCATAAATGATAAGAATATGGTGCATGGCATAAAACAATAACCCTTTTTAACCTATTTCTGGGAATATAAATGTATATAGGTATATACGGAAAACCAAAAGCCCACTCACTGGTATGTGGAAGGGTCGTAGCCCCCCTGTCTCGAGTGCGCACGCTCGTCCTCGGAATACGTGTCACCTATATGCGAAATAACTATAAAAATGTTAACTTTAAAGCACATAACCTAACTTTCGTAATAACTTCTCATACATTGCTCAAAATGGACAAATGAATATACCAACGTGCTCTACACAACCTCAGGATCACAACCATATTTTTAGAAAAAATTTCCTCCGCCACACGTGCCCCCACGCGCCGGCCGCGCGCAGGCATGTGCGGTGCACACGGACGGCGTCAACTGACGCCGTGAGGAATATTCCGTTATCTCTAACGGATTCCGTCAACGGCGTCAGGAATATTCCGTCAGATTTGACGGAATATTCCGTCACCTTCTCCGTTCAATCTCCGGTGCCGTCGCCGTCGCCGGCGCCGTTATCTCTGAGGTCTCGCCTCCTTCCTTGATCTCGAGCTTAATTCAGTTCTTGAGTCTCCTGGTCAGCTACCTGAGCCTCAAGCACCCGATCAACTAGAATTGGTCTAACTTGGAAATTAGCAAGTAGCGCCACCTCTCGATTTTCTGCTTCTAACCTCACTCCCGTAACACGCAAGTCCACCAAAAGAGGAACACGACTAGCGTACAACGCATTAATACGGCCCTGTGACTTCCTGCTAAGTGCATCAGCCACTACGTTCGCACGACCAGGGTGATAATCAATCGTGCAATCGTAATCGCTGAGCAACTCCAACCACCTCCGTTGACGAAGATTAAGTTCTTTCTGAGTAAAGAGATACTGAAGACTCTTGTGATCTGTAAAGATCCTACACTTCTCTCCGTAAAGATAGTGTCTCCACAACTTCAACGCAAAGATAATAGCAGCCAACTCCAAATCATGTGTAGGGTAATTCAACTTATGGGGTTTCAACTGCCGCGAAGCATAAGCAATCACCCTACCATGCTGCATCAATACACATCCCAGACCATTCAAGGAAGCATCGCTATAAACCTCGAAATCACCACTATCGTCTGGGAGTGCCAAAACAGGTGCATGAGTGAGACAATGCTTCAACTGCTGGAAACTATGTTCACACTATCATCCCACTCATATTTAACATCCTTCCTTGTTAACCTCGTCAGTGGCAAGGCAATCACCGAAAAATCCTTAACGAATCTCCGATAATACCCCGCCAAACCAAGGAAACTTCTCACCTCGGTGACGGTTCGCGGTTGCTCCCAACTCTACACGGCCGCAGCCTTCTGAGGGTCCACCAAAATACCCTGAGCAGAAATGATGTGCCCCAAGAACGCAACTTGATCTAACCAGAACTGGCACTTGCTAAACTTAGCATACAATTGGCGTTCCCTCAACCTCTTCAACACCAAAGTAAGATGTCGAACATGCTCCGCTTTGGACTTAGAATACACCAGAATATCGTCAATGAAGACAATAACAAATCTATCCAAGTAAGGCTGGAACACCCGGTTCATTAAATCCATGAAGGCGGCTGGTGCATTCGTCAACCCAAATGGCATAACCAGGAACTCGTAATGACCATAACGAGTCCTGAACGCCGTCTTAGGGACATCACCCCTACTGATCTTCAGCTGATAGTACCCAGACCTCAAGTCTATCTTAGAGAACACACAAGCACCTCTCAGCTAATCAAACAAATCATCGATACGAGGCAATGGATAACGGTTTTTAATCGTCACCCGATTTAATTGCCTGTAGTCGATACACAGCCTCAAAGTTCCATCCTTCTTCCTCACAAACAAAACTGGAGCGCCCCAAGGCGAAGTACTAGGCTGAATAAATCCCTTATCCACTAACTCCTGCAACTGAACTTTCAATTTCCTCAACTCCATGGGAGCCATACGATAAGGAGTTAAAGAAATAGGATTAGTACCTGGAAGCAACTCAATAGTGAACTCCACGTCTCGATCTGGGGGTAAACCAGGTAAATCCTCGGGGAATACATCAGGGAAGTGTCTGACCACTCTCACATCCTCAACTCTGCTAGGAACAGCCTCATCTAGCACCACATGAGCTAGGTACCCCTGACAACCCTTAGACAACAACTTTTTCGCTCGCAACGCCGAGATAACGCCGTGTCTCACCCCACTCTGCTCACCCACGAAAGTAACCACAGGTAGTCCAGGTCGGTGAAACGTAACTACTTTCTAGTAACAGTCGATGTTGGCACGATAGAAATGTAACCAATCTGTGCCCAGAATCACATCAAAGTCAACAATATCTAACGGGATAAGATCGGCTGACAAAGCAACACCCTCTACAATCACTGGACATCCTGGGTACACACAATCTACGACACATCTCTCTCCTCTCGGCATAGCGAACTCTAAATCGTACCCTAGAGGTGTGGGGCGAGGTTGCGTAACTTGAGCAAATGTATGAGAAATTACGGAATGTGTAGCTCCACAATCGATTAAGACTCTAGCAAAACAACCAAGAATATTTAACGTACCCATAATCAAGTCTGGGTTGTTCTGGGCATCCTGCAGAGAAATATTGTGAAGACGCCCCTGGCCCTGCTGACGTCCACTGCGGCCTCCGCTCGCCCAAACACTGCATCCCTGAGCACCGCACCCCTGACTGGGCTGACCCGACTGTCTCGAAGACCCTACACTGCTGGTAGCAATCTCACCCTGCTGATACTGTCCTCCCTGATACCACTGAGAGCCACCTACTGGAGCTGGAGGATACGGCATATAGCCGCCAGAAAACTGAGGATAGCCACCCTGGGAATAGGGATCCTGGGGGTACTGATACTGCCCCGGAGCATAAGGGACAGCATCACCCTGATAGTGGTAAGCACCACCTCGACCCGTCTGGCCGTAGCTAGTCGGACCCTGGATCTGCTGGAGCGGTGCAGGTGGTGGCATAAAAGTCTGCTGCGGTTTCTACTGCTGACCCTGGGGACAATTCGCAGCTCTATGTCCCACCTGTCCACACGTGAAGCAACCACTGCTACTACGCCTACACTCGCCGAAATGTCGGTTGTTACACCTGCGGCAAACTGGGGCCCTACCTCAACCACCATCGCCCTGCCTCTGGCCTCTAGCGCCACCAGAAAATCTACCTCCACGACCTTGTCCAGTGGCACTGAAGCCACCACTAGAAGAACTCGAACCTGCACCACCCCTCTTGAAGTTCTGAGTCTGACGGGGCCCGAGCGATGCTTGACCTTTTCCCTTGTCATCTTTCTTCTGATTGCCGTCCTTCTCTTCATCACTGTCGCTCGACATATTCTCAGAGTCCTCAATCCTCAACAGTATCTCATAGAAATCCTAGTAGGACTCACAGTGTGTAGTAGTCGCCATAGAACGCCACCTCTTCCTGGTGCCCAAACGAAAACGACGGAGCATCTCTGCTGGATTACCAGCAACGTCAGGATGGTAGCGGGACAGATCAGTAAACTTGCGGTAGTACTCATTAGCCGACATCTTCCGCTTTTTCAACTCGGTGAACTCCTGCTTCTTCCGATCAATGTACTCAGGGGGCACATACCTCCTCTTAAACAAATCCGTAAAAACATTCCAATCAGTCATCTGAGCTGGAGTCAACCTACGAAGCTCCTGCTCCCACCAAGCTGCAGACTCCGTATCCAGAAACCATGAGGTCGTCTCGACCCACCTCTCCACAGGAAGGTTCCCCTGATTATGCAACACACGGAAAGTCTTCTCAATGTGTTCTAACCACCGCTCTGCGCCCTCGTGGCCCTCACTACCTTTGAACTTATCCAATTTCAGATTGTACATAGTCTCCAGATGAGTCCTCTGGGGAGGGCGCATCACAGACTGAAGGGCTGTAGCAATAACTTCCCCCAACTGAGCAACATCGGGGAAGCTAGACTCAGAAGAACGACGTGGTTCCCGACGAGGCGACATAATTCTGACAGAAGACACCAAAACCATTAGAATACTCACAAGGACACAGGACTGCCAAACCTAAGCTCTGATACCAAACTGACACACCCCGACCGAGATCAGGGCGTGCTGGCCATCACACGAAGGTGACGTAGCCATGTGCACGTGCGGAAGCTAATAAAATAGTAATATAAAAGTACGAATAATTAAAAACTAGCGTACAAAGTACTCAGACAAGTGCTAGCGTAAGTGAGATACAAATTCAGAGCAAGACTACAGCAGTCCAAAAGAAAAGTCGCGACAAAAGTACACCCGAAGGTGACCCTACGCTGGTGAGTGTCTGTCAGAAAAGCCGGAAGAACCCTCTGGGAAACCACCGAACCTGCTAAGCAACTAGAACCTGGAGGGGCGCAAAACAAAAGCGTGAGTGGGCCAAAACAAAGCTCTTTGAAAACCATTTGGCAAAATACATTCTAACCCCTCGCCGTAAAACCTGTATACTTCCCAGAAAATAACGTATATACGTATGTATAGATATGCCAAACATGCTCAAGGGTATGCCAATCATGCTCAAGATATGCCATGCCGAAACCTCAGAATGAAATGCAAGTGCTCAGGTATAAATCAAATCAATAACATAACATCTGGCAGCCGGAGTCACCTAACGTGACCTGTACGGCTGCATATAGAGCTCAAATCTCAAACTCAATAACTGAACCTGCCCACGAGTCGGAACCACCTAAAGTGGTCTGTACGACACGCCTGGGTGTAATATATATATACGCTCTAGTGCTACGATCACGTGAAGGCTGTGCGAATAATCGCGGGTCACCTACGAGTCGGAACCACCTAAAGTGGTCTGTACGACAGGACTGTGCACCTAACTTGGATCCAAGCTGAGCGTGTGGTGCGGGAGGTGAACATCACGTGATGGACTGTGCCCTACTCTGGGCGGGAGCACTAACACCGGGGGTGCAGGTTATGAGCTCTCTAAGCATCTCAAACTATTGCTGAATGTAAATATGAATACCACTTACCTGGCACTTACCTGTACGTCCACAGCACCAAATACGCATATATAAATGTATGCCACTACTAATGCATGTGATGATGCATAAATGATAAGAATATGGTGCATGGCATAAAACAATAACCCTTTTTAACCTATTTCTGGGAATATAAATGTATATAGGTATATACGGAAAACCAAAAGCCCACTCACTGGTATGTGGAAGGGTCGTAGCCCCCTGTCTCGAGTGCGCACGCTCGTCCTCGGAATACGTGTCACCTATATGCGAAATAACTATAAAAACGTTAACTTTAAAGCACATAACCTAACTTTCGTAATAACTTCTCATACATTGCTCAAAATGGACAAATGAATATACCAACGTGCTCTACACAACCTCAGGATCACAACCATATTTTTAGAAAAAATTTCCTCCGCCGCACACGCCGGCCACGCGCAGGCACGTGCGGTGCACACGGACGGCGTCAACTGACGCCGTGAGGAATATTCCGTTATCTCTAACGGATTCCGTCAACGGCGTCAGGAATATTCCGTCAGATTTGACGGAATATTCCGTCACCTTCTCCGTTCAATCTCCGGTGCCGTCGCCGGCGCCGGAAAACTGGAAAACCTGCAAACCGTGTTTTCTCACTCGTTTCTCCACCGTTTTTCACGTTTCTTGGCCAAAATGAAGCTTAGACCTAGGAGAATCACGATAGACTACTTTTAAAGATTAAAATTCACGAGATCATACTTGTCTCAAAACTCAAAAACCGGCCAACTTCGAAACCCACGATTCCGACGTCCAATTTCGTCCAACGAGCTACTCCGATGCTCCTTAGGACCTCACTAAGACATCTATGAGCTTCAAAAATCCAAAAACAAGCTGGATTAATGTTTGCATGAACAGTGCTCAAAACGGACATCGTCGAATCGACGTGAGAACGACGAATTTCTTACCTGAAAATGGTATGATTGTGCTCCCACGAACTTCACGATCACAACTGTGCTCTTAGTTTCCTCGATCTGCTAGTGTTTAGGGTGTTTGTGGGTTTGTCCATACGTACACAGTGGAAATGGGAGAAATGGGAACACGGGGAGAGACAGGGAGAAAGACAGAGAGAGAGGGATAGGGATAATGTGTGTGTGTGTGGCCCAACACATGCCAACACCACACAAATAACCAAACAACATAACGGAAATGAACTAGGGGCAAAAATGTCTTTTCACAAGTGCGTTTTAATAATCCTGGGACGGGATGTCACAACCTACCCACCTTAATAGAATTTCGTCCCGAAATTCAAAATAACCAAGCAGCAACCCCTAGTGGTCAAAGAACAATCTAGGATACAAATCCCTCATCCGATCTTCTGTCTCCCACGTAGCTTCCTCGACTGAATGATTCCTCCACAAAACTTTTACTAAGTTCACCGTCTTATTCCTCAGAACCTTCTCTTTCCAATCGATGATCGTCACCGGTTCCTCGTCATACGTCAAATCTGGATTAATCTCTAACGGTTGAGGAGGTATCACGTGAGATGGATCAGCAACATAGTGTCGGAGCATAGACACGTGAAAGACGTTATGCACTCTAGCCAACTCCGGAGGCAACTCCAACCTGTAACCTACCTCACCAACTCATTCTGTGACCATGTAATGGTCCGATGTACCTGGGACTCAACTTCCCCTTCTTTCCAAACCGCACGACACCTCTCCACGGTGAAAGCTTCAGAAATACCCAATCTCCGACCTCATACACTCTGTCAGTAGCATGCCGATCCGCTAAACTCTTCTGCCTATCCTGAGTTGCTTTCAGGTTAGACTTAATCACCTGAACATTCTGAGTAGTCTCCTCAACAATCTCCGGACCCACTAAAACTCTCTCGCCAACCTTTGACCAACACAACGGTGTGCGACAAGCTCTGCCATACAAAGCCTCAAATGGCGCCATGCCGATGCTCGAATGGAAACTGTTGTTGTAGGCAAATTCCATCAAATCTAACCGCTGGTGCCAAGCATCACCAAATTGCAACACCGAAGCTCGCAACATATCCTCCAAAGTCTGAATAGTTCTCTCTGATTGTCCGTCTGTCTGTGGATGATACGCCGTACTGTAAAGTAGCCTCGTGCCCAAAGCTTCCTGAAAAGCCACCCAGAACTTCGATGTAAATCGTGGATCACGATCCGAGACAATACTCACTGGGACACCATGATACTTAGACACATACAAACATAAAAAACGACTCTTTTTGGGTTTTTTTCAAAACGTTTTTCGAATTTTTTTTTTCAAAATTTTCGGATTTTATGTTACAGGACGCATTAAAACACTTCAAAACATTGAGTAAAAACTTTTAGAAGTGAGAGGTGATAAAATTCAAAAATTAGTCATGGAAAGCATCTATTTACCCCCCCACACTTCAACCAAACATTGTCCTCAATGTATCAAACATAGACTCTCACACAAGCAATCAAACAACACAACTAACAAACATGACAAATATGGCAAAGTAAAAGCAATAACGAGTAAGGTTAAGGAACGCAATTCTGGTTTTGGAGCCGAAGATTCCTAGGTCTTCATTATTTGAACGCATGGGTTGCCTACCAAGAAGCGCTTGCTTTAATGTCTGCCAGCTGGACGATACTTCCATTTAAGCTTCATTAGAGCCCACGACATGGAGGGGTACATCCTCCACGACATGCTCCTTAAAATACTCATAATAAGGCTTCAAACGGTGTCTATTCACTTTGAATTCATGTCCTGTCTTTAAACTTTGAATTTGGACTACACCATAAGGAAAGACATCAGTAACAACAAAATGACCAACCCACTTAGAACGCAACTTACCTGGAAACAATCGAAGGCGGGAGTTGAAAAGCAACACTTTCTACCCTATAGAGGACGTCTTACTACGAATCATCCTCTCATGTATTTTCTTTGGTTCTTTAATGTTTTCTTGCATGCTAAAGACTCTTAATTTGGAACCAAAGTTGAACATCGCAATTAGGTTGTAGATTAGGAGAATTTGATCAAAACCACACATCTTATGGCTGATCATGTATATGTAAAAAGAACTCCGGAAATAGGTTGGTAATTGAATACAGTTGAACTTTATAAACATGGAATTGGTTTTGTAATGGTGAACTCGAAATCCCTGGACCCATCTTCATCGTTTCTCAATCAACTTATCATTCGTTGTTACATTTTTCTTGCATTTTTAGTTATTCTCATTAACAGCACACAAGCTACATTTAATTTGTTATTTTCATTGTTTAGTGAGGGTTCTTTGTAGGTTAGTAATTTATAGAGATTTAATCAGTCCCTGTGGTTCGACACCCTTACTTGTGCCATTATACTAACCATATATTGCACTCGGAAGGAAGTATATGTCCGAAAAACTTGCTGAGATAGGCCAAAGACTTGAACGTGTAAAGAGCAACACTTTTGAGAACTGTCTATCAACTAGTGCTCAAATTAACAGTGAAGAAGAGGACGATCAATCTTCTAGATCAGCGAGTGTAGGTGCTTATTCTGAGCACTCCAATTCTGAACAAGAAGAAATGGCAAACAATGACGATGAGAATCAAGCTTTGGAGGATTATGCTCAACCGCTTATACCAAATTCACCTTCGTGCATCTTGTTGCTTGTTGAGGCTAGAAACTATGATCTCAAATCTTCACATTTTCATATGCTTCCTTCTTTTTATGGTTTACCTAACGAAGATCTGTTAGCCCATATTAAAGAATTCTATAATGTTGTGAGTGGTTTACCTTTACAGGGAGTGAATGAAGCAAATCTGAGGATGAGAGCTTTTCCCTACACATTGAAAGATAAAGCTAAGGGTTGGTTAATGACTTTAACACCTAGTTCGCTCACTACTTGGG